TAATATCACAAACATCATAAAGTACATCTTTGCTCTTATCTTTACATGTGCAATATGTATTCATTAGGATAAATCTTAAACCAGTTTCTGAATAAAAGGATATCATCTTTTAAATTTTGATAGATATTGCCAAACTTAGCAATACTGCTTTTTAGAAGGTAGGACCAAGTTCCACTCTTGCCAGTAATGAACAAGAAAGCCCCTTTTGTCCCCGCTGGTGGCGAAACGAGTTAAAGCACAGCCTTGTGAAGCTGTACCACGAATTTGTTCCCTGACCAGGGAGCTGACCCACATGGTGTGGCAGACCTCTTTTATCTCACCTGCTGCTCCCCTCAGCAGTATTCCAGTAGATTTGCCTGTTCTGCTCCCCACTCTGTCTCCGGTGAATCCTCTCATCCCCTGCACCTCTGGTCTGCACCCCAGCTCTGTATGCATAAATAAATATTTAAAAATGTTTATTTTTACTTCATTTTGTGCCTTTTTCCATCTCAGTTGTAATCCTCGTGGGCTTCCCATCACCAAATCACCCATGTGCAATCACCATAGTCCTGTGCACTTCTCCCACCCCACCCCCACCCATTTTTGATCCTATTCTCTACTCCACCACCATAGAATGTTCATTAATATTATTTTCTCACTTGGTCTGTTATACTCCTGCTATGAGTGAAACCATCCAGTATTTTTCCTTTACTTTCTGGCTTATTTCACTAAGCATGATCCCTTCCAGCTCCATCCATGTTGCTGCAAAAGGCATGTGTTTATCTTTATAAATAAATAAATCTGAAAAAAAAAAAAAAGGCCCTTTGCCCCCATCTTATCGGTTGATTCAATCTTTGGCACTCTTGGAGATTTGACATTAATAATAATTAAAAAAATAAATATTTCTTTATAGTTTTCATTTTCAAATAGGGGACACCTTTAATTTTTTTAAGTTATCCTTAAATGAGTATATATTTTAATAAAGTTTTCAGTTTTATCCCCATTCTGTCACTAATGTGACTCAGTATGAGCCACAAAAACTAATTCAAAAGAATATCTGTACTCCTATGTTTATTGCAGCACTATTTGTAATAGTTAAGACCTGGAATCAAACCAAATGCCCCAAAATAGATGACTGGATCAAAAAGATGTACATATACACAATGGAATATTACTCAGCAATCAAAAAGATAAGCTAACGCACAACATAGATGAATGCTCAGTGAAATAAATCAGAAAGAAAAAGTAAATTATCAAATAGTTTCACTTATAGGAGTAATATAGGGAAACCAAATAAGGAATCAGGGGAAAATAATAGCAATAAAAACACAACAAAACAAAAATAAACAGAAAACTATAAATGAGAGACATTCTGCAAGGGAAGGGGAGGGACTATGGCAATGGTGCACAGGTGAACTGGTGGTGGAAATTCTATGGAGACTACACCTGAAAAAAGAAAGCAAACACATTGCACAAAAATGAATGATGGTGTAAAAAATATATATATATATAAACTAATAAATAAAAACATACTGCATATGTAAATAAAAGAGTTTACTCACCTAGAACAATCTGAGAGTGAATTGTGTATTTATTTAAAAGTCAAGTTTCAAACCCAGACTAACTGCATCAGATATTGGGTAATCTGTAATTTTAACAAGCCCTCCACATCCTTTTGATGAACATTAAAATTTGAGAAGCACTGTGGTAAGTCAACTAAGCTAGTTTAAGTGAACATAATACCAATTGATCATAGCAGGCTGAGTAATGATCAGACTTAATCAGAGCATCCTTAATAACCTCGCATTGAAGGTGCCTGGGGTCCAGATTCAAAGTGAAAAAACAGTTAAACATGGGTCCTTCTTGGTTGTGCAATGGGTTAAAGCACCGCACTGTGAAGCTACTGCAGCCACTGCATCACAAATTCAATCCCTGGCCAGGGGATTATACCACATGGCGTGGCAGACTCTCCTGACCCACCCACTGCTCCCCTCAGCAGTGTGCTTTGATCTGATTGTTCTGCTCCCCACTCTGTCTCTGGTGAGTCCTCTTACTGCCCCCGTACCTCTGGCCTATACCCCAGTTCTGTATGTATAAATAAATAAATCTTAAAAAAAAAAAAAAACAACAGTTCAAAATGGAGTCACCTTTTTTTGGAAAGGAAGAAATAAAACAGTTTTTATTTGCATGGGACATGACTTGATATATAAAAATTTCTGAGATTACATATAATAATAGAATAAACTTGTTAATTTAGCAAAGTTTACAGTTACATGTTAATTTGCAAAAAATCAACTGTATTTTACACTTGCAATGCATACAATTTTTAAAATAATATCACTTAATTTAGCATGAAAGTATATTAATACAAATTGAACAGAAATAGACAAGTCAATCATGTTGGACAATATAAAACACTAAGAAAAACTAAGGAAGCCCTCTATGAGTGGAAGACTATATGTTGCAGAGCCAATTCTTGACTATCTGAATTACCTTGTTTGAGTTATTAGTGCAATAACACAGGATCCAGGATAATTCCCCCAATTCAGACAGAACCCTTTCATAATACATTGCGAGATAAGATAAATTGAATTCAGAATGATGTACAATGTAGAAAGCCAAATGTCAAAGACTTTTTACTGCTTTCTTGTATTAACATGTATGAGTTGTTAAACAAGGACAGGTCATAAGAATTAAAATTATATCCAGTCTAGTTCAACCCCCTCTTGTTACCAGTCTTAGCATAGGGCAGTCTGGAGTGTTGGGAATATATACAGCCCGATCAGGCGGGAAGGAGAAATGAGCTGCCAGGCCCTCTGGAGACCAGCCTGTTCACATGGTTCTAAGCTACTCACCTGGGGCCTTTAGGTGACCTGTCAGACTCATGCTTATTGTGTTTGGAACTTCACTGCTTGCCATGAGATCTCCCCAGAACTGTAGTTCCATATCTCTGACCATGATCTATTAACTTGGCCCTGATTCCTGATGAGTTCCTTCTTTGATTAGCTCTTCTTGAACCTAAGCCCACTCTGTCTATGGTTAATTCAACCATTCTGGCTCATTAAAAACAAAAACAAACCACAGGCCTATTCCTCTGATGCACAGAAAGCTAGAGGTCTACTTTATATATATATATATATATGTATGTATGTATATATGTATATATATATGTGTATATATATGTATATATACATATGTTTATTTTTACTTCATTTTGTGCATTTTTTCATCTCAGTTGTAATCCCTGTGGACTTCCCATCACCAAATCACCCTGTGCCATCACCATAGTCCAGTGAATTTCCCTCCCCCCCCCAAGGTCTACTTTTTTATATAAACATCCTGAAGAGGGCAATTTCATAAATCCTCTGGAAATCTGGAGTATTTTTATCCATCATCATAAAGATAGTAATTATCCCCACTTTGTTAATCTACTCAGCAATGTTTGCTCTAGATGAATGTGTGATTTGTGGGTTCACAGAGATAATTTAATTGAATTTAACTTATAAGCAAACACCTGCTCTGTGTAGGATATCATGCTGGGCCCCAAAGAGATGAGCTTGCCACACTCAAAATATGATATCAGAATAACAGCCCTTCCAAAGAATGTCCACATCCCAATTCCAGAAAGCTGTGCATTTATTACTTCACAGGAGAAAAGGAACATTAGCTGTGATTACATTAAGGCTCTTGAGATGTAGAATTTCCTCTACATCATCTGGACCCAATTCAATCACAAGGCTCTTTAAAAGTATCTCTTACCAAAGTAAGAGAAAGAGGTACAGAAGAGGTTAAAGAAAGAGATCTAGATTAAATGATGCTAAGAGGTTAAAGAAAGAGATCTAGATTAAAAGATGCTATGTTGCTAACTTTAAGGACGGCAGAAGAAGTCATGAGACAAAGGATGCAGTGAGCCTCCAGCAACTAGAAAAAGCAACAAGCTGAATTCTCCCTTGGCATCCCCAGAAAAAATGAAAAGAACATCTGACTCCAGACTGCAAAAGAATTGATCTATGCTGCTTTAACCCACTAAATTGGTGATAATTTGTTATAACAAGAGTAGGGAACTGATACAGGTAGATTTTACAGTCTAGGAAGAGCAATAAGAGAGCATAGGCAACTTTGATATAACCAGAAGGTGAGAATGTAAATAGAAATACAAAGAAATTGCTAAGGAAAGGCTGAAAAAACAAATTTTGGCTGTAGAAATTAGGGAAGCTTCTGGAAGAATGGCAGTTCTGCTTGGCTCTGAAGAGTTGGAGAAGATTTTAAAAGGGGAAAATCCAGGAAATAACAAGAGTAAATAAACAGATTTGTAAAGCATAGACTCAAACAAAAAGCTGACCTAGGCCCTTGTGACCATTTGCTCAGGAACAAAAATGACCTGATTAAAAATTCCTACATTCTATGCAGGATATAATAGGTCCCAAAGATTATTTAAAATTTTGTAATAACAGTCAACAGCCACAGTACATGTGATACTGTCCTAAGATTCTATCCAATGCAGAAATACAGATCTTGGGTAAGACACTCTCCCTACAAAGGACAGTCATAGACAAGGATGAGCCTGGCTCATCTGTAGACAGATAGAGTAGGCAGGGATAAATAGAAAAATAACAAGGGGCAGTTGAAATCAACAAAAAGAGAAACTTTTTCAAATCGCCTATTAACAATCAAATGAGACATTTCCTACAACCTTCCTAAGCAAATCAAAAGTGGAATCCAATGGAATGACTTAGTAGACTTAATAAACAGGCTTGAGGACTCACATTGATGATAGAAAGGACTTTAAAATCTAGTCCCTTTTGGCAGGTTTTGGTTGTTTTGTTTGAAATTGAAGACTATCATTTTAAGAAAGACTCTTTAGCTTAGGTTTGATCAAAAGACAATTATCTTGATAAAACCATTGTTAAGGAACCAGGACTTGGGAACTGGGAAGGAAGGAAGGAATGGAATTGTCCAGACTGTTAGCCTGCATTCTGCCAGTCTTGGAATTTCTTTCAGAGACAGTGAGTTTTCAATCTGCTACCCACACTCAGATGCCTCCACAATGCTTGTTATTTTGTTCATCTTCAGGTGAAATTGATTCCTTTTCATACTGTTCACATTCAGTCCAGGAAAATGTGGAGGAACAGCTAGTCTCCACTGGCCTGCTCCGGTAAGAATGTCTGGGGGCTTCTGCAGCAGGAGCCATATTCAGATCATAGGCCCTTGAGTCCAGGGGTGAAGCTGCTTGCTTTGGAGAACACTTTGCTTCACAAGAAGAACTGGGCAAGTTGCAAGCATCCTCATTCCTCTGACACCTCATCTTTCTGTCAAAGCCCAGAAATGTAACTTCAGATTGGCTGCATTCAAAGGGGATTTTCTGAGTCATTCTATCTCTTCTAAACACTTTATCATGAGGCACTGAGCGATAACTCTGGTTTTCATCATCTTCTACTGGAATACTTGGTACGTTGTCCAAGAACAGAGGAGAAGGACATCGGAAGGACTTCAGTGAGGTGGGAGGATCTTGAGCAAAATGTAATCTGGCTTGAGTACTTTCAAGTGTATTTAGGACCTAGTTAATCAAGAAGCAAATATTAAGTTAAACTTGAATAACCTTTCCTCTTGTCTCTTTTCTGTCTATCTATTGAGGAAGATCTTTTATTTTGGGAAATAAACCAACTATAGAATTTTTAGTTAGAAGGTATTATAGATTTGCTAGACTTCTTCACTTTAATGAGAAATTAAGTGACCTGTAGCAAAATATATAAGCTAATTACCAGGTGACTGACTTTAGGTTTACATTTGTCCAATTATGTCGTGACCCCAGAAAGTTCTACATTTTTAACTGTAAAATGTACCTTTATATGTGGAGAATTAGAGGGGTTTGGAGGATGATGAGCCTAATTTTTAGGTCTCAAGTGCCAGAGTTATCTAGTGGAGTTTTCTTAAAAATAACCTAAACATTGTATCCAAAGGTATGATTGGGCTGGGGGTCTGTATTCTTTAAGGAATATGTATTTTAAAACCTCCCCAATTGATTTGCATGTGCAGCCTGAATTGAGAATAACACATGCATCAAATATATATGTGTGTATATATGTATAACAAAACATTTTCACATACATTGCTCATTTAATCCATGTAATCAACATTATTACTTTCATTTTATACATAACAAAATGACCTGTTACCTGACCTCAGATCTCCTAGTTCCCGATTTCATGTTCTCTCCATTATATATCTTACAACTCTTTTCTGGGTTCAGGATTCCAGGGCATACAGCACTTACTGGTGGTGTCAGCCCTAGAATGCAGTTTTCCTGACCCCCTGGCTAGTGTCCTTTATATTCTGATTATGTCAACTCCACATTGGCTTGTAGGCTCAGTATAAAATCCAAACTTTTAGGATGGAATTCATGTTGTTCTATCACCTGGAAACTTGTATTATTTTCACCACCTCAGCTTTTCCTTCAAACCTACCCCACTTCTATGATGCTGAAAACACCCACAATCTTTGAGCTAATGAACCCATCACCTGTAAGTCTTGCCATATTTAGATTTTCTCTGCCTAGAATGTATTTCCAGGATTACTACTGCCTAAATCCAATCTATTCTTCAAATCAGTGTTTAGCTGGCATCAAGAAGCTTCTTTGACTTCCATAGGCTGGGAAGTATTCTGACTCTGTGCCCCCTTACCAGCCCAGGGACCCATCCATAATTATGCTAAGTTTTCTGCACTGAAATTCCATGTTACCAATCTACTCTCCCATTGGATTGAAAGCTTTTGGGACGCAACTGTATCTTGATCACTTTTGTGTCCTTGGTGACTGGTACAAAGTCTGTCTCATGCTAAGTAGGCACTAAATAAATATTTGTTTAAAAAAATCAATTATCAACAAAAATACAAATGGATTGTCCAATCAAAAGACAGATGGGCAAGTTAAAAAAAATCAATAAGGAGATACTTAATAGTTCTGGATCTGGGACCCTTCCTGGAGGCACAATGGGTTAAGGCGCAACACTTTGAAGCTAGCCCCAGCCACTTTGGCATGAGTTTGATCCCCAGCCAGGGAGTGACCCACATGGCACAGCAGACCTTTCCTGTCTCCCCGCTGCTCCACTCAGCAGTGTACCTGATCAATCTGCTTGCTCTGCTCCCCACTCTATCTCTGGTGAATCCTCTCATTGTTCCTGCACCTCTGGCCTATACCCCAGTTCTGTATTCAAAAATGAAGAATCTTTTTTTTTTTAAAGATTTATTTATTTGTTCATACAGAACTGGGGTAGAACTGGGGTACAGGTCAGAGGCTCAGGGGTGGCAAGAGGCTTCACCAGAGACAGAGTAGGGAGCATAACAGGCAGATTGGCGAAGTGCAATGCTGAGGGGAGCAGCGGGCAGGTCAGGAGAGGTCTGCCGCACCATATGGTCACCTCTGAGGTAGGCAGGGATCAAACTCATGCTGAAGTGGCTTTAGATTCTCAGTGCTGTTCTTTAACTCGCTGTGCCACCAGGGAGGGCCAAAATGAAGAAATCTTAAAAAAAAATAGCTTTGATCTATTAATGAATGCTAAATAAAATATTCTTTCCAAGTTATTCACTTTTTTTTTGCAGTGTTCTTGCTTCTACTAGTAAAGACTTTTTGACTCCTTATTGGAGGTGACTTTTTAATCTGGCAAAGTTATTGTGCTAGAATTTTCTGTTTGGAGCTGGATTTGTCTCATTGATAAACAATTCACTTAGATACACAATTCATTCAACTTAGCTTCCCATGGTTCTATGGGCTCAGTTTTGAATAAAAACAGGTCGATACGCACTTCATCCATCGATGGTCTCAATTTTGCCCGCATTGCTGCACACTGTCCTGCCAAAAAGAACAGCTTGGCAGAGAAATTTCGAGGGCCAGGATCCACTTTCTTATCCAGAAATGAGAGACATGCATCGAGGCCTCTCTTCTCCATCAGTTCCATAATGAGATCCCTCTAGGAAGAGAAGAAGACAAACTCACTATATAGAACTCTGTCAGAAAAATAACCAAGAAACAAGTGCAGAGATAAAGACAATGCTTACCAGCTGGGTATGTTTTGGATCATCTAACACCACTTTGTAACCTGTGAGAACTTCCATGATTACCTACAAAGAAATAAAGAAAGTTAGCTATGAATGTTAGCTAGTTAATTAGTTAGTTAATTAGTTGCAACAATTAACCATAAGACTGATAACAATGAATACAGTTCATTTCAATGAATGACTTTGTATTTTATTACTGAATGACACAAATTCATGTACAAGACAATGAATAACAAAAAAATCGGTAAGTCCAAAAGCTAAAACTCTTGGGAAATGCCTAGAACTTAAAGCCTCCCTAGCAACAAAAGCCGCTTTTGTAAACCAGCAGTTGGTACTCACAATTCCAAAGCTGTAGACATCTGTTTTAACAGACAGCTTGCCTTGCCTGATATACTCTTCTGGCATGTACCATAGGTGTCTACTGTTGCTGTTGGTCATGCTTATTATGGTAGAGCTCTGGTGTTCTAGGTGGGGTCGCAAGTGTGCCATGGCAAAGTCAGTCAGTTTGGGTTGAAACTGATCATCCAAAAGTATGTTTGCACTAAAATTGTGATCAAGGACAAACAAGACAAAACATGATAAAGACATTTCAGCGAAAACCAGGACAAGCTCATCCACACTGCATTGTCCCACCCCGACGGCTTTCTTGTCTTTGAGTCTCATTTAAAATATAAAGATCTGCCGAGGCAAAGTGTTTGGAGTGAGTTTTTGCTGTTTATCACATAAAAATCTTAATAATCACTTAGCACCTTGTTTAAGGGGAAGCGGCAGCTTACTCTGACCTCTAAAAGGGCTGTCAGAGAGGGTTGGGAGAGGTAAGTCAAGAGGGAGTCACATTTCACCTGGCACACTGACTGGACTGTTGACCGGTGGCTCCACCCTGGAGTGTCAGTGTGAAATGAAGAACTCACAGAACTGATGTGGAGACAATGACAAAACTATTGCCTGGCACACAGTGATGCTGGGAAATGGTTACTAAGATAACAATTAGTAATTAGTCATTGATACTGGTAAAGAGGGGGGTGAACCACTAGAGAACTATCTACTTCTCAATTTTACTTAGTACTGTTACAAGGTTGCTTTTCATCTCCTGAAGTAGAACTTCTAACACTAGATCTGCCTATCCAAAATACCAAGTGGTATATCTATAGTATCACACACTATTTACCAAAAGTAATAATAGCTACAACACAAAACCAACTATACAAAAACAAAAACAAAAAAAAAAAACTCTTAGGTTTCTTCATTTGGAGAACAATGTTGACTCTTCTGACAGACCTCTGAAGGTTGAGGGTATGCTAGATCCAGATTCTCCTCCTCCCCAGCCCTAGATGAGGACAGGAATTTTGTGCATGATGACTTCTTCCACAGATGTGTGTTCCACTTGCCAGATGAAGTCTGGGACTCTGGAGATGCACTGCTCATTCAGGCTGCTGGGTATTTCGAGGAGGGGTTTGCCAGGAGCTGAGGTAGCAGACAAGCGCATTACCTCTCCTCACCAGGACGCAAGCTTCTGCCCCTCAGCTTCCCGTAGGGAGAACCTGGCTTTCCTTTCCACGCCCCCAGCCTGCTTCAGCACAAGGGGAAGGCAGGGATGCCCCGAATGTCAGATTCAGCGTCAAACATCTAACCCTTGGCTTCCTCTACCCCAGCGATAAAGAAGGTCTAAAATCCTAAGTTAAAATGCCAGAACCTTTAGAAGGTCAAACGCTGAAGCTACAAAACATTAGAATCCCTGAAGAATTGATCTTTTCTAAATAGAAAAGAAAAAAGCCACAACAGTAACAAAACCCAGAAGTTAACCAATTTATTTGACCTTCAGCAAAAAGGCGGAAGCTTCCGACAACTGGTGAATCATGCTTCTCGAGGAGGCAGAGGTGAGCTGGGTAACCACGATGTGTTACGAAGTAAAACCACAGAGGACATGGGGTCAGTGAGAGGCCGTCAGTAAGAATGTGAAGTCGTTCTAGGGCTCTGCAGTTACACTTTGAATAATGATATTTGGTGAAAAGACAAGTTGTTTACCAGCAGACTTTAGGGTATGACATAAATTTTGAGTCCAGTGATTTACTCTGTTCTAAATAGAGGTTAATGTTAGCTGAGGAAGAGGGATGTTTTGTTTTAGGAACGTGGGAATTGGAAAAGGCCCTTCAACAATCAATTCTACCCTAATTCTTTCCCCTACTTCAATCTTAAATAGAATGTTCAAACATAAAGTGACTTCAGCTATCAAGCAGGTCAACAGAAAAGGTTTATCCTATGGGGGTGAAAAAAGACTAACAAAATAAAGACAAGATAAAATACCTCCAGGCCTCCCTGGTGGTACAGAAGCTATGGTCTCGGTCTCCCGGCTGTCAAGCTACTGCCAGCCATTGCACTGAAGCATGGGTTCCATCCTCCACCAGGGAGCTGTCTGCATGGTGCAGTGCACCTCTACTATCCCGCCTGCTGCTCCCCGCTCTGTCTCTGGTGAATCCTCTCACTCCCCCGCCCCCCACCTCTGGCCTGCAGGTTCTTGTATGCATAAATAAAATAAACCCTTTTTGAAAAAGGTAAAATACCTCCGTGATCCACACTTTCAGTTTTGGTATTATATAACCTACTTCTAAGCTTTCCCACAAGGCTACCCACTGAAACAAAGTAGCCATCACTTAGCTCCACAATGCTTCTACCAGAAGGTCCAGAGGTGGTAACACATGGAAGAGATGGGGAAAATTTTACACCACGTGTATTTATACCCTGAAGCTGAGTTTATAACTTAATCTCTTAATTGCTGGGGGGCTCTAAGGCAACTCTTTTTGGAAACCCGAAGCCCCTAAATCAAAACTTTGAGTTGATTTATTTGCTTACCAGTTTATTTCCTAATTTAATTGAAGCTTTCAGGTCTTAAATATAAAGTAAGATGATAGACTGAGATTGTAATTATACAGGGTTTGAATTTAAGTGCAAATACCACATTTGACAAGTAAGCCCATGATTGGTTTGTAAAGATATATATTAAAGAGGCTTGGGGGGAGTTACTGGTGACAGTGGTCTCTCTACTGAGTTCCTGGCAACTCTCAGAAAAAGTCTGACTCCACTCAACTGGCTGCAGAGACGGAGGACCCACTGGCTTCTCCATGACAATAATGGCAACAGGACACCTTGCTCCGTGTCAATGCTGTTCCAACGCCAAAATATCTCCCTGAAGGAGTCTTCCCATGCCAGATGACCCAGTTTCTCTGGGAACTTGCTGGAACCCTCCCCGCTTTTAATCATGCAGGGCATTTGGCCCTAAGTATGAAGCTGAAGCCCTTCTTCCCTGCTTGGATTATGGGGCTTACAATTTCTTCCTCTTTCTTTCCCACTGAGCCAGGCAGACTCAGAGACAGTGTTAAAGCTTATTTTTGCTCTACGGGTGAGTCTAGGTCATCTGTGCAGACTCTCAGTCAACAACCAGTATTTCTCCATTAAATAACCAAATTAGACAAAGCAGCAGCAGCTCTCTGCCCACCTGTGACTGTGTAGATGCCTCCTTTTTCCTTTCTCCTTTTCCTAATAAACCTGTCCCTTTAACATGTAAACAAATGAATACCAAATTAGTACAACTTCACCAAGTTCTTGGTTTCCTTATAGCTCAAAAGATCTGATAGTGCTTACTGCACAGGGAGGATATAAATAGTAAGTAAGAAAAATCAAGGAGGCTTGGTACATAGGTTGGGTCTCCAAATGTGTTTTGGAAGATGTAGGCTGGCCATTGTCCATCTTACACCCACCACCTTAGTTCAGAATCCCAAGGAACTTGGTAGGGGATCTCTAGAAGTTCAAGAACACTAACTTAAAGCAACAAAAGTCCAGGAGACTGCAGAATGAGCCTGGAACTGGAGGACACTTGGGTGAGTAGGTGTTAGGGTATCAGTTGCATCTCAGAATAATTCCACATATGTTCTAGAAGAACTGGATTAAAACAACATTTCCAGATATTTTACGACAATATGCAGAAAACAATAGTTTGGTGTGTGTGCGTGCAAGCATTCATGTATCCGTGTGTATAAATAAGTGAATGTGACACTTCACTTGTGAAGTGTGGTTGTGAATAGGATTAGGATGGGAAATTTTAAATTAGGTAATATTGAAATATTCTGTCAACACTTAGAAAAATGAACATATTTGGATGTCTTATTTATTTACGTTTTAAAAGACAGGTTTATTAGGGGAAAGAGAAAGAAAAAAAAAAAGAAGCACCTGCATGGTCATGGGTGTAGCGAAGCTGCACTGTTAAGGTATTTTAGAAGAAGGAACACAGAGAGAGAAAATGGTAAAGTCTGTGGAGAAAAATTGCTTCTAATAATGTTTCTAAAAACAAAAATAGATTTTTGAAGAGGAGGGTAAGAAAGAGGAGAAGGGGCCCCTCCCTGGTGGCGCAATGGGTTAGGACACAGCACTGCAAGCCAGCTGCAGCTGCTCCAGTGAGAATTTGATCCCCCGCCCTGGAGGTGACCCACATGGTCCTGACCTGCCCACTGCTCCCCTCAGCAGGGTACTTCATCGATCTGCTTGCTCTGCTCCCCACTCTGTCTCTGGTGAGTCCTCTCACTGCCCCTGCACCTCTGGCCTGTACCCCAGTTCTGCATGCATAAGTAAATACATCTTTTAAAAAGAGAGAGGAGGATGGTTAATAAAAGGAACAACCAACCAACCACGCAGACAGCATTTCCCATAGGCACTGCCATTCCTGCAAAACCCTGAGCTGGACACATCAGGTGTAAAGGGCGAAAGCAGAGGGGGCTTGGTATAGATGTCCCTGTTAGAGGAAGGGGCCAGTCTGTGGCTCCTTATCCTTCCCAACCATCCCATCATGCTCGCTCCTCACAAAGAGAGTTTACCATGTGCTTATGGCCATGCATCTTTGATCAATTTCCATTTTTAAAAATTCATTTTTAAGCAAGTGACTTTTTCCTTCTTTCCCAGATCACTTCCCATATCTGAAAACTGTTTAACCTGACAGGAGATAAACAGCAATAGTGATGAGAGACATGGTCTTATAGGAAAGATTAGAAATGATCACCGAGATTATCTCTTCATTTTGGAGATAAACAGGAATGAATGCCTGGATGAAAAATGTCAACAATAAAATGCTTTTCAACTTAAAATCTTTCATAAATGTGAAAACAATTATGCTTGCTAAGGAGTAGGATGGAAATAAGATTTACTGCTTTCAGATGCTTTTATATGATCCTGTAAATTCAAAAACATTTTCTTTTTCCAAATAAAATGTGAGGGTCTTTTGCCAAGAACAGAGACGTCAACTCTTCAAGATTCTTCTCTTTGAATCCCTTTCCTTCTCGAATTCCACCATCTGGAAATGAATTTTGTTTTTATAACATTCTCTTTGAAGAGTTCAAATTACTAAGATGTTTTTGGGCTAACTAAATCACCAGACTTCTTGAAAATACCTTTGAAATGTGGGCTTGGTTACCTCCTTGGGTGTTCTGCAGCTGTGTCCTTGACAGCATCTTCCTTAGAACACTATTTACTCTCACTGCTGGAACAAGCAAAGGG